TACCATTTACTTGTTTTATTGTATAAAATTAACGTTTTTTTGGAATTTTGCCGAGTTTTAAAATAAAAAATAATACGGTGGCGAAAAACCGCTTTAGATCTTTTTTGTTTTTTTCGTAACCAAATTCTTATTGTTTTATGATGAAAACTCATCCAATAACCAAATGTTGCCTTTTAAATTGTGAAAAAATAGTGTGTTTATTCTCGGCATACAAATATTTTTAACCAAATGTATTGAATAACATACAAATACACACAATAAACTTGAATTTATTCACCATACAGAAATGATTGCCGCACTTTCTGATCGTCCACAGTATCTTCCCAGTCTTTTTTAACATTTTTCTTCACTGCGGGAAACCGCTTTACTACCATTTCCTGATAAAATTACACATAATTATAACCAAACTTTCAATTTGCCTCAAATAATTGAGGTTTTTGTGAAAAAAAAGCAAAAACACTACAAATTATAACGGACATGTGCAGCGCCCTTTTACCGCTTCTGATAATTTACACAAAATTATCCGTCTTACATTGTTTTTATTGACCAATATTAATAAATTGCTTCGTTTATTTTATAAAAAGTTTCAAAAAAGCAAGTACAACGAAATAACGAGTCATTTATCGCTTGCTTGACAGGCACTTGAAAAACCGCTGGGAATGGATGCACTCACGTTCAGTTGGTGAGTAAGTCCAAAGTGCGTTTTTTCAGGTTGGCAGTGAAATGCATTTCTGAGCGAATGAGGTATCAAACAAGATGGGGTGTGTGATAAATGTGCAGTCGGTCTTTGCTGAGAGACATTGAAAAGTGGTCTATTAAAAACATGTGCTATGTTATATATTTACTATGTTGCTCGAGAGGTAATCGATTTGACTGTTGAGTATTTGTTTAATGGACGATTAAAAAATAAAAAAAAATATTAAGGAGTGAAAGGGGGTGTGAAAAAAGGTACACTTGCGGGTTAGTGTTTTTGAGTTTTTTATTTCTGCAAAAAATTGAAAAAATATTTAATAAAAAGTTCATTATTTTTTCATTTAATTATATTAATTTTAAAATGTTTTTTGGTTATTTTGACTTCAAAGAACAGTTTCGAAGTCAACCTTTCTTGCTCCTCCTTTTATCATTCGGCAAATCCAGCCTTTACTTTACATAAAAAAATAATTTACAAATTTTAATAACAAACATCGGCATCTTGAAAAAGTAATAGATATTCTTGTAAACCTTGTTTTTTGAATCAAATCGAGGAAAAGGAAAAAATTAAACTATACAAAAAACTATAATCATATTATCATTTTAATATTAAATTATCAAAAGCGGTTTTTTTAAAGCGGGGTTTTCTAGCTTTTTATGGAAATAATCGTATGTAAAAGGAGAAAAATATACAGTGCCTAAAATGGGTGGGCGAATTTTAAAGTATTAAGGCGGAAATAGTAAAAATTATGAAGCCCCTGTTTTTTCCTTAATTCGAAGAAAATGTTATTGTTTTTTGTTTTACAAAACACAAAAATTATTATTGTTTTTAATAACACAAAAACTTTTATTAACACTTTGTAAAAATAGCAATTCTAATTATACATTTAATTAATATTTTCAAGTTCCAAAAAAAAAATCAATAACTTTTCTTTTTTGCTTTTCTAAAAAATGAGTGAACAATTTCTAATCCACAAAACAAAACAAACCTAGCAGTGATCTTTCCTTTCTCTGTTTTATAATTTGTTTTTTTTTTCTAGTTCCAGTTTGGAATAAATGGTTTTTGATTTTAGTAAATTTAATTATAAAAAACTATTCATGAAAAAATCAATTAAAATTAAGTTTTTTCATCATTTCTGGAATCCATATTTTTAAGAAATCATCGTGATTGAACAGCTTATATTCAATATTGTTGTTGCAGTATTTTTCGATTGATTCCATCACTCTATATCCACATTTAAAACCATTTTATTAAATTGGAACTTAATTTTTAGCGGAATGTCTAATGCATAATTTATTGCTTTTCAACCATTTTCCAACAAAGTTGTTGATTTTTGTTGACGTAGACCAAGGTACCACGTGATAAAATTACGCGACATGATTAAGATCAACTCTGAACTCTTGTCAACGTTTGCTACACATTTTCTTAAAGAACGTTTTAAGACTATACAACAAAAAAAACGTCACAACTACAACCTGGCGTATTATTTTTTTGCCTCGTTTTTGTTTTAAAAAACAGGGAGCTGGTGTTATCTTTTCCCATATAAAGTATTTAAAAAAAGACTTAAAAACGAAAAAAAAACATTCTATAAAATAACACTGAAACATTTTTGGGCTTCGGCATTAACTGTGTAAATTTTGGTAAACGCTTGGTTGTGGTTACAAACACCAGTGTTAGTCCAACAAAATATTATACAATTCGTTTTGAAGCTTTTGCAGGCACCAAAGATTTTTGTCATAATCAAAAGAAGAGAAATTACCATCTAATCGCTGGATGGATATGACGAAGTATAAGAAAAAGTACATGTACAAAAGTGGTTCATAGAAATTCATTGACTTTTTGTGAAGACTGGAGCTTTTGAACAGTATCTCCTTTGCCTCCAGATAGAACAATTAAAGTAGGTGGGAAAGTCATCGATAGACTGAAACCAACTTTTAGGACGCACTTTTTCAAACCAACAAAGTACCTCACCAAAAATCGGGCGATGAGTATAAAACGCAATATTTTGATTGTTTTAATTTTTGAGTATATGCTTAATGTAATTGATGGATGTTCTTTTTTATAAATAAAATGTCATAATTTTCATTTATGATAAACGCGACATCATTGTATTTAATTTGAAATAATAAAAATATCAAGAAGCATTTGTGGTCTAAGGGCAGAATTCCACCCTTCCAAGGTGGAGATCCGGGTTCGAGTCCCGGCAAATGCATTTTTATTTATCAAACAAGCATGTTCTTATTGTTTGATTTAATAGTGTTTTAATATTGCAACGTATCAAATAACCAAGTATATGCTCAATTATGTTTACACTAAAATATTTACAGAATTGGAATTAAAAAAAATAATTGAATAGTAGATAATTTATGTATTTTGTTGGACTTTGTTTATTGTAACAACTTGAACTAAAGAAGTCAGTATAACCACAATAAATATAAATCCCTCTATACTATCCAAACATAATACTATCAAAATATAAGTTTTATAAATAACATCTAATGTGTTGTTTTCAAATTATAACAAAAGATGATACAGATAGTATAAAATTTGGGTGTCAAGAATAAATTGGGTGTCAGATTGATTTTGAGTTATTTAGTGGTTTTTCATATTTTTAGGGAGGGAAAAATAAAAAAAAACGAAACCCATTTTTTTACATTAACTAATCCCTAATTTATTTGACACCCAATTTATTCCTGACACCCTATTTTTCTACTATCTGTAATTACATTTTTTAAAACAAAACAACGTGGCCGAGTGGTCAAAAACGTATGACTCGAAATCATTTCTCATTTGAGGCGTAAATTCAAATCCTGCTGTTGTCGTTTTAAATTTTAGTCACTTTAACGAAGTCAATTTTAATTTTATAATAACAATTTAATTTAATTAAAATACATTTTATATTTATTAATTATTATAAATTTAAATAAACAATTTTATCAATTATTAACAAACTTTGTTTTTAATAAAAAACATTAGTTTTTTAATTATATCAAATAATATAAAAATATTATTATTTAAATCATATAAAACTTAATTTTGTTATTTCAATAATTGATATAAACTGTTATTATTTAATTATTATTTTATAATCATTTGAAATGATGTTTAACTTTTAATTTAGAAAAACAATTTTAAATTTGTCTTTTATAAATTTCACATAACCATATCAATTCGACCCAATAAGAACAACAAAAACGTCTTTGCTGATCAAAGATGTTTTGGATCAACACAACCAAGGTATTGTCTTCCAATACCTGAGGCACTACTAAATTCTAAAATAAAATGCCCAAACCACCATCTTCCTTTCACTGAATATCCAATACCATTGCCAAAAAGTTAATTATTTTTTGTTACACATCCTCCAAAAGTAGTTTCAAAACATTCGTTCAAAAAAATTTTCAACAAATTTTGGCCAAGCCTTCGGCGACGCTGTTGGTCTTTCAACTGAATTTCTTTTTTAAAAACAAGCCGAATTGATTAATAAACACGAAAGAACCACATTTTCATGTTTTTAAAAGATACTTATCTTTTCAAATGCATGAATATGGCTGGAAATGTGTCGACTGGACTGACGACACTGATCAGTCGCTTTTAATACATGACTCTTAAATAGCAAACAATGGAATCGTGTTCTAGATCACTTTAAAACACGCTGTCTCAATTAATACAATTTTGGCTTTTCTGAAGTCGGCGATAAAAAGTCGTCGGATGTTGGCATCCAATGATAAAAAATAATTTGTGATTAACTTAGTGATTAATTTGTGGTTATTTGCTGTTAAAAAATATACTTATATCATATTATACAACAACTATTCTGTCGATAAATTCTAGTTGCAAAAAAACACTTGTTTTACTTCATTACTTTTTGTAAAAATATATGAAAAATAATCCCGTTTATCCGGGAATATAACAGTGCTATTTAGTATATAATCAAAATATTTTTTTAATTCACAAACCATCAATTTCTATAACATCATAAATATTCCTGTATTATACCTTTATTGTTATAAACCTTGTTTG